GTATTACTGGTTGACTATGGAGTCAGATTGCTTCAAGCATGCCAAAAAGTGCCATAAATGCCAAATTTATGCTAACAAGATTCATGTGCCGCCAAGTCCGTTGAACATCATGGCGTCACCTTGGCCCTTTTCCATGTGGGGCATTGACATGATTGGCAAGATTGAGCCCACTGCATCTAATGGACATCGTTTCATCCTGGTAGCTATTGATTACTTCACCAAGTGGGTGGAAGCAGCTTCCTATGCTAATGTCACTAAGCAAGTAGTAGTCCGGTTTATCAAGAACGACATCATCTGTCGCTACGGAGTTCCCGAGAGAATCACTATTGATAATGGTTAAAACTTTAACAACAAGATGATGAAGGAATTGTGCCAGAATTTAAAAATCGAGCATCACAACTCATCTCCCTATCGTCCAAAGATGAACGGCGTTGTTGAGGCGGCCAACAAGAATATCAAAAAGATAGTGCAGAAGATGGTTGTAACTTACAAGGATTGGCATGAGATCTTGCCCTTCGCTTTGCATGGATATCGTACTTCGGTACGTACCTCAACTGAGGCAACTCCTTTCTCACTGGTGTAAGGCATGGAAGTTGTCTTGCCATTAGAAGTCAAGATTCCTTCTCTGAGAGTCCTGGTCGACGTCAAGCTTGATGAGGCAGAATGGATAAGAAACAGATTGAATCAGCTTAGCCTGATGGATGAGAAAAGGCTAGTGTCTATTGCATATGGTCGATTGTATCAGAGTCGGATGAAGAAAGCTTTCGACAAGAAGGTGCACCCTCAAAGCTTTCAGAAAGGTGAATTAGTATTGAAGAGGATTCTCCTTCCACAAACAGATCACAGGGGAAAATGGACTCCCAACTATGAAGGTCCATATGTCGTGCGAAAGGTTTTCTCCGGAGGAGCCTTGTTGTTATCAACCATGGATGGCGAAGATTTTGCATCCCCTGTGAACGTAGAAATAGTTAAAAAATACTTTGCTTAAAGAGACCCGTTGGAATGAAAAAAGAATATCCAGGCAAAAAGGGGCATCCCGGCGAACCACAAAAAGAAAAGGTTCGGGAAAAAATTAGGGATATAAAAGAAAAGGTGTAAACCCGCAAAGTTGAAAACCTGAAAAGGAAACTTTGGCAAAAATGGGTATCCTGGTGAATTGAAAACTCGCAAGGGCGATTCAGGTAAAAGTTAGGGATTTGAAAAGCAAATGACTACGGTCTGCATATTGATCTTCCGAGTATAGTGGATTAAGGGAGGACCTGAGGGCCGTTTATCCGAATTAATCTCTTCAGAAGGCGAAGTGTCGTGGAATCATCTAGTCAGGCGATTTATAGAGGGACCAGCTCATGGTGTTTGTCTGTGCCACATTGCCTACATTCTGTATATTTATGTGCATTTCTGTAATTTCTGCGCAGCTTCCTCTTTTCAGGGGTTGCATTTGTTGTAAAATCTGCCTATTTGCAGGCCATTTGTTAATAAAGCATATACTATTCAGTAATTGTTTGCCTTGCTTTAATCTTTACTATTTTGTTTGCGAAAAACGCCCGATGTTTTGATAAAATTGCGCATACATAAACTTGCAGGCTTTGGCCAATAATTATTAAAACTTTGATTTATTTGAACAATGTCACGGATGATGACCGAGATAGTTCCCTTTGTGCAGGATATCTTGTTTGTTTGTTCACTATTGTAGGGTCGTTACCCTCGGGGCATATTTCTAGAGGTGTATCCCCGGTATGATCACTGTTTCCCAGCAAGTGGAGGTTGTGTATCTCCATCCCCAGCAAGAGTCTATTTCTCCAGCAGAGGGTGTGCAGGTAGAGGGTATACACTTCTCCCCAGCAAATTGTTGTATACATTCATTCCTCGGCAGTTCTGGTTGAATTCTCCAGCAGGGTAGAATCATCTCCAAAGAGTTGAGATTGATATCCCTCAAGCAAGGCAGGTACGTGTCTGTGTCCTCAGCAGATTGCAGGTACACATTTACTCCTCAGCAGAGTCAACAAAAGTTGGTTTCCCCACAAAATTTGGACATATAATCTGGTATCCCCTCAGAGTTTTAAGTGGTGATTTGTTCCCCAAGTATATGCTTGTGGTTGATTCGTTCCCATCATCTCATTGATCATGTCTTCTTCTCCTTTCTTTTTGGTTTGCCTTTGGGCTTGTGGTTGATGACAAGTGGTTGTAGGAATTCATTTTTCTCCCACTTCATCCCACTTGTGTGTGAGCTTGCCTGGTTATTTCTTTGTGTGCTTTCCCTTTTGTTCTTGCATCTCTCATTTGCATGCTTGAGGTTGAGATGTGCTTATGGTGGCTACTCCCTCACACTTGCTCCTCCCTCTTTTCTCCATCCTAGTTGTGCATTACATGTTTGCATCTTATTTCTCCTTTCATCTTATGCTTCCTTCTTCTTTCTTCTTTGCCATGTTTCCTTAGGACCTCTAACCTCTCTTGTTAGAGATTGATTATGATAGGCCTTAGGCTTGAATCCATGTATGATAAAATTAGGTAGCATTCCCTTTCCATCCCAATCATAGGTGTACTTTGCATGAGAACATTAGGTTGAGTTTAGTCTCCTTTTAGAGTTGTATCTCTCTCTTCTCATCTTCAAACTTCTTCAAGACACTTAATAATGGATAATGAATGTTGTACGTTACGAGCCTTAAGCATTTGGGAAATGATTATTGTGGGGCCTCCTCTCAATTGTCTAGAGTGTTTAGGGTATGTCCTTTGGACGATATGTGACGCATTCGCTCCTAAGTCATAGTCTTTAGTGCAACATAAATTACAAACCAAATTCAATTCACTTCTTCTTTAAAAGAAACACAAAAACAAACATCAAATCATTTTATCCTTCGGGATTTAATTCGGAACTTTTTTCATAAGGAGAGTTTTGTTAACTCTTGGTTCTACCGCAAACAGGTAACGCCTAAGCCTCCAATGGTCGAGTTGCATACACCTAACTGCTAGAACTAAGTTTTAACCATACTCGGGTAAAACACTTGAATCAACTTGTGGTCTTGTTAGCCCGAACTACGTTTGCTCTGATTTCTCGTACCAGACGAGGATACGTAGGCACAAGACGACGATGTCTTGGCGAGCAACCTTCCCCCACCTTCACCCGTAGTTTTCCGAACTACGTTGACTCTGACTTTCCCATTGCACGAGGGAGTATGTAGACATAGAGCAGTGATGCTCTATCGAGTCTCTTTTCTTTTCTTTTGTCTCTGTGGCCTGTAGCTTAGATAGATAAACACCCTTTTTAGATAGACAACAAGCGTGGATCCCGTCGAGTACGACGGAGGTGAGGGGTGCTAATACCTTCCCTTGCGTAACCGACTCCCGAACCCAAGATTTGGTTGCAATGACCTGTCTTTTTCCTTTTCGCTAGGTTTTCTCTGATCGCTTCCTTTCTCTCTTTTGAGATAAATAACAAATGGTGGCGACTCTTATGTCCTTGTCGGCCCCTCTTCGCATCGATGTTGACAACCGCCCCATAAGATGGTAAAACATGATGGATTCGTCATTGCGTCCCCTTGAGGAAGTAAAATACGTTGAATTCTTATAGGGAACTCTTGTCGCCCTTTGAGGCGATTAAAGACGTTGGGCCTTCTCGGCCTTAGGAGGAGATATCAGTGAAAGGCCAAAATGACTAAAGCAAAGGCACCCAAAGGGCGCATGAGTTATATTCTTACAAAAAGTCCCACATAGGAAAAATTACAAAGAAAAGTTACAAAGGGCCAAGGAAATAAAAACAAGAAACCTCCAAAGCTCACTGGTCATTTTCCCATGTAACCTTCTATAAGGGAACTCTCTCCGGTTGAGGAGCCATCGGCTCACCTCCCCTTATCGTCTCGCTATTGAGTCCATCCTCTACGTCCACAGATGAGGGAGATCGTAGCTACGTGGAAGGGGACATTCACCCGATGGCCATCACGTATAATCCTTAAGATATCCAAAAAGCTCAAATCTAGCTCAAGATATAACAAAGACACTTGCTTCTTCGCACACCCAAAATAGGCATCAGAGGTCACACCATATCATATTTGAGGTTCATTACGTTGTCCTCCAATTCCTTAGTCACCCATGATTCTTTCTCCTTTTGCAAGGACTTAGTAAGCTCTTTGTCCTTGGTAAGTTACATTAAATGTAATTGAATATTGGCACCAATTGACTGATGTTTGATACCCTTCAACTGACGTACAAACCACACATGTAACACCTGGCATTGACTTTGCGACTCGCCCTTAACCTAAAAGACTCGCCTCTAACTGCAGGGCTCACTTTACACAGAAGATGAGTTTAACCACTTTGCACAATATAAGTCCACGTACTTGAGGGACCGTGTAGTGCTATATTTATAAAATACCAACATAGGGTGATGCAAGGACCCCCATAATAGGCTCATGCCTCAGAGTATGTCTCCTAAGCATGGTCTCCACTCATAAAGTTATATTCACAGAGAAAAACACTCTAAAAAAACACTCTGATAACAACTTTTAAAAAATGATAAATTCGTAATTCATCATATTATCTGGATACCAATAGATTGGTACAAAACACTAATAAGTAAACACCATTGTTTTATTCAAGATGTGAAACTAGATGTTATGCAAAACGAACGAACAAGAATAGTATAGAATAGAAAAAGACATATTTAATCATAGAAGTATAATAAGTTGTTTTTTTATATAGAAATATAAGTTAGGAGGAGAGAATGATTCACACCTAATTGCAAAAGCAATGATAACAACACTTTGATTGAATTTTTGTTCTTGATAATTTGAAACTATCCTAATTTAGTGTATACTAGGGGGCATCATCAACATTAATTGGAAAAACAAAAAGATAGTGTGTCAACTTTTTCCTATGCCCATATATATGACTATTTTATGTACCCAAAATACATTCAAAATAGACCCCAAAAAAAAGACAAGGACCCCAAAAAAATAATTTTTCCATTAATGGCCCACTAGGTTTCATATATATAGAGAATTTCATCACATGGCAACTTCTGATTCGGGCACGTAATTTAGTCTTTCTTCCCACACCAACTTGGATACAACTTCATCTTGCTCAGGTACATGTTCCTGCTTCACAAAACATTAAATGATCATTATTATGACCCACTTGGTTTAATTAAATACAATCATCATCATTATTAGTACTATCTTCTAAAGCAAGAAAGTTGTTAATAAAAAAAGTGATGAAGAACAAGAATTGAACACTGACCTCTAATCCCTTCACTAATTCCTTGGCTGTGGATGCTGACACGATAATGCGACGTGCCTTTGGTGATATAAAGCCTTCATCAACGGCCTTGTCAATGAAACATAACAATGAATTGTAAAATCCATCCACATTCAATAGCCCCACCTGCACCATCAAATATTATACATTCAAACACTAATGTCACAATCATATTACTAAATTCATATTTTCTATCAAATTTGCATCACTACGATTATAAGCCAATTACAAGTACAGATCTTTTCTGTCGTACATTTCTATTAGGTCTCATAACAGAAATAATATCAAAATTTTAGACAGCTTCAAATATGTCTGTCCTACTCTATTTTTAGAGACTTTTACAAAACAGACTAAACCGGATACATCGGATATTAAAACATTTTCAATATAAGACTATTTTAACCGGTCCGAAACATCTTAATTCCTAGAGGTCTTTTCATAAACCAACAACTTTATTTGTTGCGTGGTACATTAATTATTACTAATTTTATTATGTGACATAATCTTTCTCCCATTCAAATGGAGAACCATCATAAATCAAATAATGTAACGTGACAACGATTAACTAAACAAATATCCTAGAGTAGTGTCTTCTCTCATGTGAATCGAAATTAAGTACCCCACATGTTTCGGTTTAATTATATATACGAACCTTCCTAGAGTTACATGTTTCATGCTCAAAACTAAAACATCTATAATTACTTTAATTAATAATTAACAAACAATTAAGCAAATTAACAAAAAATAATAAATAACTACGTATGTCATGCATCATAGATAGGAGGCAAAGTTGGTTAAGGCAAGTGCTGTCCAAAATAATTAATAATTTTTTAAAAAGCAAAGAATTTGACTTGTTCGTATTTTATAAAGTAGCAGACATTAGAAAATTCGATTCCAGAGAGTTCACAAGAGGCAACAAAGTGAAGCTTGTTAATTGAAATAACTAATCATAAAAAAAGCTAATTAGTTTCAATTAAGATATTCTTAATTCTCTTCCCACCTTTGAGGCATGTCTCCAGTTACTTAATGTATATTGTGTCTCTATTATAACTTTGGTCAACTTAATTAGTTTGAAATTAATTAATGTAATTAATAATAACGGCATCATATAATTTGTCTAATCATAACAAATTCAAAATAAGTTCTTACTGGTTTGCTGTGTATCCCAAGCTGAGCCCATGTAATAATTTCCAGCAATTCTTCAAGGGTTCCATATCCACCTGATTTTCAAATTATCAATATTAAACTTTATTATTTTTAATAAATTTAAAATAAAATATTATTAAAAATAATAAAATTCTGTTTGGACCAAAACTTGTTAACATTGCGCAATGTGGCTAGATGATATACCAGGAAGAGCAATGAAGGCATCAGCCTGCCTAGCCATTTCAGCTTTCCTTTGATGCATATCAGAAACAGCTCTCACTTCTCCAATAGGGTCACCAGTAATCTACATTAAATTTCCACCATATAATTATTAACACATTTCATAAGCCATTTTGACATTATAGTCTTAACAACAAAAACAAGCCTAATAACAACAACAAAGAGACATATTAACATAATGGTTTAGTTTAATTTAATTTACCTCTCTCGGCATTAGACTTCTTGGGATAACACTGCATAAACAAGTCCATAATAATGTACATCATTAGTCAAACGATACAAAAAACAACAACAACATTTTTATAATAGATAATGATTGTGACTAAACACAATGATCTTAAATTTAAACAAATGTTAGACAAGTAAGATTCATGTAAGTGAAAAGCAAGAACTATCTACTGTCTCTTTCTGTAAAAAAAATACTCAAAAGGCATTCACCTTTTATCTATTGTCCTCAAAAAGCTTCTAACCATAAGTAAAAGTTACACATAATCACTTTTAATTTCACCTCTTTTGATAAACTCAAAATGTAGCAAAAGGCCAAATTCACCACATTACACAATAAATTTATATCCTATGATAAACAGACAGATATATTGTTTATCCAATAAATCTAAATAGCAAAATTTTGACGTAGAAAATATAAAAACTAACTAACCCAAGAACATGGCGGCCACCATCATGAACTGCCTGAGAAACAAGACCCATCAGCCCTACACTTCCACCTCCATACACCAAATCAATTCTTTTCTCAACCTTCACACATAGAAAACACAAATCACACGTGTCATTGTAGTAATCATGACATAAACAAAACCATAATGAATAAATAAATATTAATTAATTTTATCGATTGATATAGATTGATTGAAATAGTGGAGTGGTCAATAATAAAAATGAAATAAAAAGTAATGTAAAAGTAAATAAAAACAAAAAGAAAATAGGTTACAGGGAAAAAAATCATAGAAGATTGTGAGCATGCTTTAATGTAATCATACAAAATTTTGCACGTTCATTTTCCTAGAAAAGTGCAGAAAGCATTTCTTGAATTTTTATTATTTTTCATCCTATTAAAAAAATATTAAAAACTAGTATTTTATGATGTTAGATTATATGAGAAAGATAAACTGAGATCATGCAAGAAGTCTGATCAACTAACAGACAGATTCCAGCTAGCAATTTTCATTACTCTCTTTCATACCAAAAAACAACAACAATCTTCTCATTCCTCAACAATCTTAACCTAGATTTGAAACTACATGAAATTTTATTCCATCAAAAATTAAATAAAATAAAGCGTAACAAGAAGATGATAAATGAGAAAATGAACATGATCAAAAATAGAAGAAAAAAAATGCAGAATCAAACAACGATTGAAGAAGAAGAAGAAAGAAGAAAAGATGAATATATTTATTATAATATACCAGTTCTTTTCCAAGTTCTACAGCAGCTTCTTGGTAAGTAGGTTTGTTTCCTGAACTGCTTCCACAGTAGACACAAATTCTCTTGAACTTTGATTTGGTTTCTTCCATGGATATAGAAAAGAAGAGAGAATTGAGAGTTTGCAGAGAGAGAAAAAGAGAAAAGAGAATTTTGATTTGTTGTTTTATTTGCAAATGTTTGTGTGTATTTATAACGTTGTGAGTAACCCTTTTTTGCCAATTATACCTTTTTTAAAACGTTGTGACTTGTGAGAAAACTTTTTTATTTATTTTAATTTCTTTGTCTTTTCTCATTTAAAGAGAACGGCATGTATTACTATTTATGAGATTTAATAAATTTCCACACTTTTTACATTTTTATATTTTATTAAGTTTTTTTTTATAGTAGTATTCTGTTTTAAAAGACAGCTCAATTTGTTATTTATATCAAAGACATCTCATTGCATAAATGTAAATTTGGATGCGTAAAATGTGGATTTGAACGCGGTGATATCTCATTTTTTGTTTATCTGTTTAAAGAAGATAGTTAATTTTGTAAAAGAAATAAATTTAAAATATTTTTACAAAATAATTATTCATTAATGATGTTTATATATATATATATATATATATATATATATATATATATATATATATATATATATATATATATATATATATATATATATATATATATATATATATATATATATATATATATATATATATATATATATAAAAGACAGTAATATTGTAAAAGAAAATCATTAAATCTTCGTTAAATTACTTTTATTAGCTATTGATTAGATTCTCACCAACATAAATGGACTATAATATTTTAGAACTATTACATTAAAAATGAAATTTGTTTTAACCAATTAAGTTGGACTAATATTTATTAATAAATTGTCATATAATAGTCATATAATATATTTATAATTAAATTTAATTATTAGAGATGTTTTGTTTAAAATTGAATATTTAAAAGTTTTAAAAGAACTAAAAGTTTAACAGTTGATAATGTATTTTTAATTAAATTTGAAAAATTGAGGGTTTGAAGAAATTGTTCGAGGAAGCTCATAATACCCTTGATAATAAAAGAAGCGGGTTTTGCAGTTTATGGATAACACCTTTGTAGTTAATGAATAACACCGTAACGGTCGCCATTTATCACTTTGAGAAAGTGAGAATGAGATGGTCCTCTTGTATCCCCATTTAAATTTGAGCCTCATGGATTTTTTTAAGGTGGTTTTATATGGGAAAGCTTGTTAAAATAAGATTTGTTTATGACATATATTTTTTGGATTTTGATGATAACAAAGTATTAAAAAAAACAATGATGTTATCTAATGTGTGTTTCAAGTATGCAAGTTATAATGCTTAAAGTTATATAATCAGAATCTGATATATATAAAGACGCACTTGAGAAAAGCTGAATTACTAGTTTTTGGTGGTGCAGAATTTGAAGAACACTCTCTAAGTGATGTATGGCGTAGACTTTGAAGCTAAAGGTCTCAGCATCAGAAGAAGCAACATATTTTCTCTACACTTGGTGAATGTAATTGACTTCAGGTGATCATTCAGAATTAGTGATAAAGCTAAAGTTATTCATACTGCAAAAAGCAAGCTGCATTGTCAAATCAGTTTGTCAATTAGAGTATATTTTTCACAAGGCTCAAGAAGAATTGAACCGATTTATGGATATCTACTCTCAATGGCTCTATAGTACAAGACTACATGGAAGACGCAATTGTGAACCATATTACATAATGGATCAATATCTTTTGGTGTATCTCTTTTCAACGTCTCTTGTACTATGGAGAAACAAAGGCATTTGTTCAAATTATCTCTTCCAATGATTAGTCTTCTACAGCTGCTATATAAGCTACTGAAGATTCAAACTGAAGTCTTGAATAAGGGACCAATAAAAGGGCAAATATAGAAGTAAAGCCAAGAAGGATAGAAGTGTTCTACACTTCTGCCTGGATGGAGAGCAACGCACTCGAGTATGCAGATTTTCTGTTATATGTTGTAAATTGTAATAAGCCTTCAAATTTCTTAAACATTGAATATCTTAGAAATCTTAAGTGTTTAAATGTCTTTGTTAAGGTGATTACCATGTACCTCTGATAATTGTATCAAGTACACCTTATTCTCTATTCTGCTAAACATGATTGTTTAGTAGTCTAGATAAAGTCGTTTGATATGTGCTTGAGCAACAAAGTCTCTTGTTAAGAAGCTTGAGCCAAGTAAGTCTCCTGTTATATGCTAGAGCATTGAAATTCTTAGTCAATTGTTGATTGAGCAGAAGTCTTGAATCTGTGGGATTTTAGCAGGAAAGTCTTTGACTGTGAGTCTGAGCAAGGAAGTCTTGAACCCGATGGGTGTAAGTAGAAGTCTTGGGTTCGTAGAACCTGAGCAAAAAAGTGTTGAGTTCATAGAACTTAAGCAAGGAAGTATTACGTACGATGGGGCTTAAGCAGAAGTCTTGAATTCGTGGAATTTGAGCAGGGAAGTCTTGAACCGAGGGGTCTGAGTAGAAATCTTAAGTTTGAGGGGCTTAAGCAAGGAAGTATTGGGTTCGTGGAACCTGAGCAGAAGTCTTGGACCTGGAGAGTTTGAGCAGGAAGTCTCGGGTTGAGGGTATGAGCAAAGAAAAGTCTTATGCTTAAGGGCATAAGCGATTGTAATCATGTTTTGATTATAGTGAAAATCGTTTGTTTTGCAAGGGGACTGAAGTATTCCTATTTGGGAGGAACCAATATAAATTTTTGTGTGTTCTGTTATTATTTATTTGCTTTTGTTAACATCTGCTGCAACGTATAATCAGAATCTGAACACCAATTTAGATTCTGAACTCTGATTAGATCCAAACTAAAGAAATGGAAAACATAATTCACCCCCCATTTTCTTGTGTATTTTTCTCACCTTCAGAACTGGTAGACAAAGAGTGATTCCTCCTTCCCCTTTTCCTTTGAGTTATATTAACTGTCTTTATGTCGCTACTGCGAAAATAAGGTGTCGGCAAAACAGAAGAGTCGCCACCTTTCGTTATTTATCCCACAGAAGGGAAAGGAAGTGATCGGAAAAACCTGACGAAAAGGTATAAGACGAGGTCATCGCAACCAAGTCTGGGTTCGGGAGTCGGTTACGCAAGGGGAAGGTATTAGAACCCCTCACGTCCGTTGTACTCAACGGGATACACGTTTGTTGTGTTTATCTGACGGGTTGGTTTAACTATCTACCTATCAAGGCTGGTCTGAAAAGAAAAGAAAATGACTCGACAAAGCATCACGCTTCGTGCCTACGTATTCTCGTTAGAGAACGAGAAATCAGAGTCAACGTAGTTCGGCTAACTACGGGTAAAAGGATGGGGGAAGGTGGCTCGCCAATACGTCAGTATTGTGCCTACATACTCTCAACAGATATGAGAGATCAGAGCTTACGTAGTTCGGGGTACTACGGAACACGGGTTTAGATTCATCTGTTTTTCCAAGTAGGGTTAACAAACAGTTCCAGCAGTTTGGTGTATGCAGCTCGCTCGTCAGAGACTCGTGTGTTACCGTTTGCGATAGAACTGGGAGTTAACGACACTCTTTTTCTGAAAATGTTTTCCTGATTAAGGGGAGCCCACGGGGCAAAAGAGGTTTGAGATTTGTTTTCTGTCTTTTACGGAAGAAGTGTTTTTTATGGATGTCTGTAGTTCATACAACACTAGAGACTATGACTTAGGAGCGAATGCGTCGCATATCGTCTACAGGACGTATACTAAACACTCTAGACGATTGAGAGGAGACTGCTCAATTATCATTTCCCAAGTGGCTTAAGGCTCGTAACGCACTGTATCAACTTGCCTTTATTACGTTTTTTACTAATGTTTTGGAGATGAGAAGAGAACAAACTCTACAGGGGAAACTATCAAGCCCTAATGTTGTCATGCCATGGATTCATCCTATGGTTGAGTTTGAATCAGGGAACTCCTAGAAGTTATCATGCAAAAGATTCAACCTAAAATTCTATCATTACTTCCTTATCAAAGGAAGTGAGAATCCTAAGGGATCATGTCAATGGGAAACAGAAAAACAACTGCAAAAATCATAAGGCAGATAAAACAGAAAAGCAAACAGTAAAGATGCAAATGGAATGCAGCAATACAAGCAGAGGGAGATACTCAACCTCTAAGCAAACAAGCAAAGAGAACAAACAAAATAGACAAGCAAAGGGAGGGTCACCTCAACCCTTCAATGCAAACACATAAGTTACAAAAGGGAAAATAACATTCAAGCAGAGGGAGAAACTCAACCTCTAAAGCAAACAAGGAAAGGGAGCTCAGCTCAACCTTTTAGTGCAGTCATGCTCCTAGCCTACAATAATATAAACATGAGACTATCCTAATGCATCAAGCAATGTCAAACAATTATGAATGAAAGACTGAGGGGAAGGGTAACTAAGATGAGCAACAGGGAAGTCATCCCAGGCTATATCAGGTTGGATGTGTGTCAACACAAGAGTCCATCATGGGCTCAACCTCTTGAGGAATGCACAAAATCCAACCAAGGGAAGGATTAGGCTCTCCCAAGAGGGATCCTATGTCAATAGGACAGAGAAGACTGGGTATTGGTCCTAGATGTCAATCTAAGGTATCTGGTTCAAGGTGTATCAACATAGAATGTCCATCCAAGGCTCAACCTGTTGAGGAATGCACAGAATCCAACCAAAGGAAGGATTAGGCTCTCCCAAGAGGGATCCTGAGAAAGGGACTTGGAGATAGATGACAGTATAAACCAAGGGAATATACCATGCCAGGAATGTCAATCTATGGCTCAACCTCTTGAGGAATGCACAGAATCCAACCAAAGGAAGGATTAGGCTCTCCCAAGAGGGCTCCTCATCAAGACTTGAAGGAGGAAGATAGTACAAACCAAAGGAATGTATTATGCTGATGAATGTCAATCCAAGGCTCAACCTCCTGAGGAATTAATAGAATCCAACCAAAGGAAGGATTAGGCTCTCCCAAGAGGGATCCTCATCAAGACTTATAGAAAGAGGATGGGGCAAAGCCCGGGGAAGAAATCACACAAGGGAAAGAAGACATCACAGAAACTTCTAAG